CCTAGACTACAATTAACCTAATGGACACAAACAAATCTTTCCTAGACTACAATTAACCTAATGGACACAAACAAATCTTTCCTAGACTACAATTAACCTAATGGACACAAACAAATCTTTCCTAGACTACAATTAACCTAATGGACACAAACAAATCTTTCCTAGACTACCATTAACCTAATGGACACAAACAAATCTTTCCTAGAAACACTACTTGAAATATGCTTAGATACCAGGAAACAGACAGGAGACAAACATCAGAGATTTCTGCCAAAAGCTTAAATTTCCCATGGCTAGCATCCCCAAGAAAGCATAAAAAAGGAGGCAAAAGGACAATATAATTTCAGGCAACTCCCTAGAAGTACTGACAAATGTAGTTGTTAGAACACTAACTTAAATGTGTTATTTCGGTGATCCTTGGTTCCATAAAAAAAAAGAATGACAGAAATGGAAACTGAAGAAAATGGAGTTACATGTAATTCCCACACACATAAGATAAAGGAGGTTTGATACCAGCATGATAGGGATGTGAGTCCTGGGCTAGTGGGTCTTACAAATTTACTGAGGTAAAAGACTGAATATTCCTCACATTTCTGTTAATGTTACTAAACATAAAAAAAAATTCATAATGTAAGTAATCATTTATTTTTCATGTTACTGACAACTATTAATGCTGTTAATAATACTAACAAAAGCAATTTTTCATTCTCAAAATTAGCATGAAGCACTTCCATATGGATATAGTCAGTAGTAACTATACTGGAAAATCAGTAGCAATGTTTGAAAGAATACCTTCCATATGGATATAGTCAGTAGTAACAATACTGGAAAATCAGTAGCAATGTTTGAAGGAATACATCCATATGGATATAGTCAGTAGTAACAATACTGGAAACTCAGTAGCAATGTTTGAAGGAATACCTTCCATATGGATATAGTCAGTAGTAGCAATACTTATAAATCAGTAGTGATGTTTGAAGGAATACTTCCATATGGATATAGTCAGTAGTAACAATACTGGAAAATCAGTAGTAATGTTTGAAGGAATACCTTCCATATGGATATAGTCAGTAGTAACAATACTGGAAAATCAGTAGTGATGTTTGAAGGAATACTTCCATATGGATATAGTTGGCAGTAACAATACTGGAAAATCAGTAGTGATGTTTGAAGGAATACTTCCATATAGATATCGTTGGGAGTACCAACACTAGAAAATCAGTTGTAATGTTTTGAAGGAATACTCCCCTGTTTATTCCATCCATTCTTTCAATCCTTTTTTTTTTCTACACTGATGTACAGTGCTTCTCATCATCCGTTATATGTAAACTTTTCATTTTAAATCACCATAACAAATGTTTCTCTGTTTTCATACTTTTTCACACTTGTACTCCAGTTTTATCTGCCAAAAACTTCAGTGCACAAACATGGAAACTAAGGATTTCAGTACACAAAAAATGATATGAGATGAAGGATAACAATAAAAATACTGAAACTGAGAGGATTATTTATGATTTGTTTGTGGCATTACAGAAGTGACCATGTATTAGATGCCTATATTTGTGAAGATTAGTGAAGGAAGTTTCTTGTGACCTTGTAAAGATCGATAAAGGAAGTTTCTTGTGACCTTCTACAGATTGGTGAAGGAAGTTTCTTATAACCTTGTAAAGATCGATAAAGGAAGTTTCTTGTAATATTGTGGAGATTGGTGAAGGAAGTTTCTTGTGATCTTCTGGAGATTGTGAAGGAAGTTTCTTGTAACATTGTGGAGATTGGTGAAGGAAGTTTCTTGTGATCTTCTGGAGATTGTGAAGGAAGTTTCTTGTGACCTTCTGCAGATTGGTGAAGGAAGTTTATTGTAACCTTGTGGAGATTGGTAAAGGAAGTTTCTTGTAACATTGTGGAGATTGGTGAAGGAAGTTTCTTGTAACATTGTGGAGATTGGTGAAGGAAGTTTCTTGTAACATTGTAGAGATTGGTGAAGGATGTTTCTTGTAACATTGTGGAGATTGGTGAAGGAAGTTTCTTGTGACCTTGTAAAGATCGATAAAGGAAGTTTCTTGTAACATTGTGGAGATTGATGAAGGAAGTTTCTTGTAACATTGTGGAGATTGGTGAAGGAAACCTCTTGTAACATTGTGGAGATTGGTAAAGGAAGTTTCTTGTAACATTGTGGAGATTGGTGAAGGAAGTTTCTTGTAACATTGTGGAGATTGGTGAAGGAAACCTCT